GCAAATAAAGAAATGAAAACATATATGATATATATAATTCAAAGCCAAACTCACTGCCACTGAGTTGAGTCTGTCCCATAGGACGGAAGAGAACTGTCCCGGTGAGGTTGTGATACTCTTCACAGGAGTTGATATCCCTGTTTTTCTCCCACAGAGGGACTTATTGGTTTCAAACTTAGTGGTTGGGGTAAGCAGTCCAACACATAACTAATATATAATTATACATACACATATGTACACATATATCTCTTTTAATGTATATTTACATGTATATTTGTATTTTGTGGTATACATGTATAAGATGTGCATGCTTATATGAAGAGTTTCATGGAAAAATGAAGTTCAAAGATAAAATGTTTCCACAAACTTTTTGAAGCACACACCACACACACACACACACACACACACACACACACCCCAAACCGAACCCACTGCCATCAAGTTGATTCCAACCCTACCCAAAGCACTGTGACATGTTCTATTCTAAAACACGCAGCCATCAAGTGAATCCTATAGGACAGAGTAGAACTGCTCCCTAGGGAGTCTGAGACTACAAATCTTTACAGGAATAGACAACCTGATCCCCCGGAAGGGCTGGTGGATTTGAACCACTGACTTTGTGGTTAACAGACCAATACTATGAAACCATTCATCCCTTTCCATATCCCCACTCAATACTATGTATAGCATACTTATAAGTATAGTTTGGTTTCCGAGGTACAAAAAAAATTATGGCACGATCAACAAAAAAAGATGGCCACAAGAGAACACAAAACAGCAATAACTTAAACATTTACATCCTTCTTTCTTTGGAGAGAATTTTTATTCATAACAATCATAATTTGTGTTTGGGGACATCTGAGTACAAATAAAGAAATGAAAATCCAAAGGGTTTCATGATTTGCCTAAGGAGCCAGAGTAGGAAGAACCAGGAACACGGGTTTCTCTATCTTACTCTAGCATGCTTTTTCACTTCAACAAGGGCAGTTAGCAAGCTAGCTAGACCATCTTCTCCATGATAATCAAGTGTGAATACATATGTCCTGATATTTTCTTAACATTGAAACAAGGGTGAAGCATCAGTTTTTTCAGAGCATATTGTGATCTTCAGACTAGGATTGTCTGAAGAGAACATAGTGTCACTTGACTGAATGGAAAGGAGATGTTTTTGATTTTTTTTCTCTGCTAAATATATATTCCACTTATTTTGACCCTTGATGATTGCGTTTGTTTGTGCTTCTCTTTCAGATTGGTTCCATCACAGGGATTATCCTCATTGTGCTCATAGCTGTAGTTGGAGGAATACTGTACCAAGGATCCTGGGTCATCAATCCCAAACTCTGGATTATTGGAACTATCTTTCCTTTGGCTGGTTACTCGCTAGGGTTTCTTCTGGCTAGAATAGCTGGTCTGCCCTGGCACAGGTATGGTGTTTTGTTAAATTGGATTGAGAATTTTCTTTTGAGTCGTTGGGCCTTCAAGTTAATTCTGATTCCTAATACAACAGAATAAATGGCTTCCTGGCCCTGCGCCATCCTCGCAATGGTCAGACTGGGGCCCAGTCTTGCAGCTACTGTTCTTAATCTGTTCAGGGCTGTCCTCTTTTGGCTGGCCGTCTTTTTTACCGTGTATGATGCTTTCCTTCAGAGACTAGTGTCTCCTGATAATGTATCCAAAGTACATGAGACTAAAGTCTCACCCTTCTGGCTTCTGAAGAGCACTGTGGCTGCACTTCCTCCCAGGCAGACTGGTTTGTTCCTCTAACCTCCGTTGTCTCTTCAGTATGCGTCTCCGACATCACAGGAGCTGTCGATGCTGATGACAAGTCTGACGTCCTTCATTCGTACTAAGCATTAGCTCTTTTTCTGAATACATCCTTTCAAATAGACATATTAATTTATAAATTGTGTGTTAAAGCCCCTAGAATGAAAATACTGACTGCCTCTTTTTCTTGCTTAAAAATCTTTCTTCATACCCTTCCTTTGCCATGGGTTCTACAGTTAAGTTGGCCTTCAAATACACGATGCTTCTTCCATCCAACCTACACAGCGAAGTCATCATTAAGCGGTGCTGAATCCTAACATTTGGCTTGGGATTCCTTTATTTGGTGCTGGGTGGCCATATTTCTTACTAGCCCACCTGAGGCAACGAGAAAGCAGGAGCTGGGCGAGCAATGGGCAACATTAGACAGTGGGAAATAAACAGGTGTGAGTCCGGGAGGCCTGGCCTTGCATTCCCATCGGGCCATTTCTCAATTATGGGACCTCAGGGCAGGCACTTGCTGTTTTTTCTCTGCATTTTCTTGCATCTAAAAAGGGAACAATCATGCCTACTTGCATTACTGCAAGTCAACAATGGTCAGGAGTTCATCAGAAGAATGACTCGAATTTAAACAATTATACAATCACCACAAATAATTTAAATATTTGCTGTACCCCTGCTCTATGCTCTGCACTGTGACCAAGGACCTCGTGTAAAAGGGTAAAATGAAATCCCTTTGCTATTGATTGAGGAGCCATGACAGTGTGGTCGGGTAAGCCTTGGTTTCAAAGCCACTGCTCCTGGAAAGATTGAAAGCCTGAGAAAACCCTGGAGGGCCATGAGGAGTTGGGATCTACTTGATGGCAGTGAGGGTTGGGGATTTGATTGTTGGTTGCCGTTTGTGAAATGCTGATGTCTAATGAGCATGCTCCACAGATATTTGTATAAGTACTTGTTCTCCTTGTCAATGTCTGGGCAAAGAAAAGGATTCCACATTTGACGATTTATAAGGTTAGTGCTGTCAACCCAGCCAGAGCTGACTCGAATGATAGGCTGGGTGATGTGCTTCTGACAAGGGGAGCAATTGCAAAACCCGGGACCAGTTCTACTCTGCTCTGACGCAGTCACCACACATCAAGATCCACTCAATGACCATCACAGCAGCGTGTCTTCTTGATGTATCCGTTTCTAACCTCATTTGACGACGACCTCCACCAGAAACAACAACAAAAATCATGCATTCGCTTACGATTTCTTTCAGGTGTCGGACGGTTGCTTTGGAAACGGGGATGCAGAACACGCAGCTGTGCTCCACCATAGTCCAGCTGTCCTTCACTCCGGAGCAGCTCACGCACATGTTCACCTTCCCCCTCATCTACAGCGTCTTCCAGCTGGTCTTTGGAGCCCTGTTCTTAGGATGTAAGCAATCATGCCGATCACATGTCATTATAAGGTTCTTCTTTGAGAAATCTTGGAGTTGCTTAAATAGCATTATTTTATCTCTTCGTTTTTTTTATAAAATAAATAGATGGGAGGGAAAAGCCACCCAACTACTGCTCAAAAGTTGGTAATTTGACCAAACTTCTATGTGAAAATTATTTTTAAGTGAAAAGTGTTCTCTCCACTGATTTTCTTTCCCTAAATAATTAGAGAGAAATAGTACCATTAGGAGCACTTTCTTATGTGCCTTCCTAAATGGTTTCAGGAGCCCAGGAAGGATCTTTGTTTTTCCAAAAGTAAACTCAAAATAGCCTTGGTATTGTTAATCATAGGCCCTGGGTGGTGCAGTTAACACACTGGCCTGCTAATAAAAATTTTTTTTTTTTTAATTTTAATGGAAGTTTGAGTCCACCCTGAGGCAATTCTGAAGAAAGGGCTAGAGGACAATTGACTTCAGAAAAATGAGTCACTGACATTCTATGGCACACAGATCTACTCTGACCCACATGGCATTACTGTGAGTGTGAATCAATGCAGCAACTTGCATGTTTTGTGAATATAGAATATGTATCACAAACTAGCATATTTATTGGGTTAGGTTACATTAGACAACAGATGTGTGTATAAACACACTTTTTAAAAATTCCTATATTATTGAAGCAGTTGAAGCCCCAATTTTTTATTGTTTTTACCCTAAAGAACGAGGAGAAGATCATCTGATTCTTAGTTTTACTCTGAGGAAGCATAGAGTTTGGAACCTTGCTCATTAGCATGGGTTAATCTTAATCTATTTGAAACTCTTTCCTATAGTGTGCTTTCCATGGACTGATGATGTCTAACCTATATGTATATTTTCAATTTTAAAACCTGTACTTTTATAAACTTGATGAATCTTCATTAGGAATGTAAAGTGGAAGAGCAAAAAGAAAATGTGAAATGTTAAGTTATAAAATGCCTGGAGATGTAGTTTTATTTTTTTGACCTACTACTTAGCTCCAAGTAGAGCTAAGTAGAATTGAGTAACTTACTTATGAGTCTTACTCATACTCTATATCAAATCCTTAAATTCAATTATTAAAGCATAGCTCTCCTTCCTAGACTGAGTCTCCTGAATATATTGCAAATATAAAACAGATTTAGCCCAGAAAATAATAATTCATTGCCACAGAGCCTTTTATTGCATAATAGAACTATAAACAATTTTGTGTACCTTGAAATTTTTGCCATATAACTGGTTTGTGATACCTTCTAGATGTTCCATAAAAAGTGTTGATAGAACAATTCCATGTATTTTCTAGTTGAAAGAAATAACCCCCAATGGATTGCTGATTGGTTAATTTTGCCTTTTCCCAAAATCTAGCAGTATTTTATATGAAAATATGAAAGTTGCTGTATTAAGTGCACATAATGCCTGAACATATATCTTAGTGATAAAAGTAGAAGTGTAGTATATTCTGGAATAAAAGGTTACACCAAGAGAAAGGAAGGAAGATTTTTTGGTTTAATAAAAGCAGAGACAGAAGGATATGCTGAGGGAGTTCATTTTAAAATTAGTTTATAATAAAAGTGTGGGGATAACTTAATGGAGCACAAGCCCAGATAAATTCCATGAGGTCCTATAGATTACACTAATGTATTATTAGAAATACAGGGACCAATCCAAAGAAAACATTGATTTGATTCTTATCTTTGAACCTGGGCCTGTCTCACAGCTCTGCGTTCTCCCGATATTAGCATTAACTCAGAACTTAACTATTTTCCTTAGGTCATGCTAGACAGGTTCATATTTTTTATCATTTTAATATTTGCTGTTGCCCTATGAGTGGCCCTGGGTAGAGCGACAGTGAATATGCATGGCTGCTAATTGAAAGGTTGAAGGGGCTAATCTTGGCAGAAAGGACTGGCAATATCCCTCCAAAAGGCAAAACACATCAGGGTTTCATGAGTCAGGATCAAGTCAATGGCAACTGTTGGTGTTGTTTTGTTTTGTTTTTAACTGACATAAAATCCACTGCTTTGGAGTCTAATCTGACTCAGCAACTCTACAGGATAGAGTAGAACTTTCCTACAGAGTTTCTGATGTTGTAAAGCTTTATGAAGCAGAAAGTCTCATCTTTCTCCCACAGAGCAGCTGGTGGATTCATCCCACAGACCTTTGGGATAGCAGCCCAGTGCTTAGCCCACTGCACCACCAGGGATCCTTTAGGAGGCAGATGCTATTATTCTGATTCTATCTGAGAGATGGTGGGTTGATGGGTTCAAGGAGGCAAACCTTTCCGCCATAAAGGAAATTGGAATTGGAAATGATAGAGAAGTTGGGGAACACGGAAGAAGCTATTTAAGTAAGAAAATAAGAACTTTTAGTGCTAATAAATCCATGTGCTTAATTGGAAATTTTAAATTGAATCTAAGCCAATGGGCTTGTTAATACTGTATCCTATCAGCACTGCCACACACATGTACATGTAACACACATACACACACGCACACACACACATACACACTGCACGACACTGCTTGGGAGGCAAAGCCTGTGCACGTCAGCTATCCTCAAAAATAAACTGATAAAAAAGAACACTACAGAAGCTGGCAATTCTAAAGGAGAGACGAAGGAAGACCACCCAGCAGCTGAGACGCCAAGCAGCAGGAGACCTGAGGTGTGCTTCTAGCTCAAGTCTTTGCACAAAGGAACTTTAGGCCAAGATTTGACCTTAACAGGTGGTATATTAATTGAGAATAAGCACATTAACTAGGATTTAATAGATCTAGATCTAGAGGTACATACTTAGATAAATCATTTGCCATCATTGCTATCAAGAGCCCTGCCTAAGTATGAGGGGCTAACCACCACAAAGTCTGTGCTTCAAATATATCAGCCTCAGCAAATGAGGCCGTCTGCTCTCAGAACTCTTTACAGGCTCAGACATCTGAAGGAGCAATTCTCCGGTGCCCTATCGGGTTGCTATGAGTTAGAACTGACTGGATGGCAGTGGGTGTGTTGTTTCGTTCATTGCTGCTATCACTTGACCGTGCCTGCAGAAGGCTCGTGTCTCCCCGGAGGAAATATCCCCAAATGCTGCATGGTGGGTTTTCCTAAGTCCATGCATTGCTCTTCTCCATGGATGGTCACAAAGCTAAGAATTGCTTTTGGTTTGGCTTTCTTTTCCTTTGTTGGTCTATAGTCTCTGGTCTACAGAAACTAAGAACTGCTTCAAGAATCACATACAAAGTAACTTTCCAGGTTATCGTTATGAAATTAACTTAACTTCTTATGTGTGTGTGTTGTTTTTCTAGGTTACGTGACATACAAGAAATGTTATGGGAAAAATAAGGAAAACTTCCCAGAGAGCAAAGACAGCGAAACCGTGCCCGAGTCCTCCCTGTATAAAATGAATGGAGGATTTCAGCCAGAAGAAAAGTAGAAAACGGTGGCAAAGCAGAAGCATTCTGAGGAATGTCATTCAACTATAAATCTATCTGGACTATTTGTTTTGGTGGAAGAGCTGGCAGGAAATGATGGCGCGAAGTTTTAAACTCAGCTTGAATTCATATTTGGGATTCAGTGCCGAATGACTGGTGATCCAATTCATTAATGTGACAAAGACGTGTAATGCCATTGAACTATACTAAGAAAATCACTCCAAACTGGACCTGACAGAGTTAAAGCACTGAGGGCCGGGTAGGTCTCGAACTTACCCAGTCTCGACACTCAGAGATGAGCACCTGACTTTTTGTATGTTAAAATAAGAGCCATAAATTATTCTTATAGTGACCAAAATTTCTCAGTACTTATAATTGCAAAAATATTGAGGGGAAAACTTTGCAGCACGTTTCTTTATATAATAGGATAGTATAATGAGAAAATATATATCATGCTAACATTAACAACAACAAAAAACATGCTGCCCTGACAGTCCACGAAAGAGGAGTTGCCAGATAGAATGCAATGCCGAACTGAAACAGGTGTGTAACTCGTCGGGGCAATTGTACATCCATTGTTCTACCTCAGAGCCCAGATCACTCAAGGGAAAACAGAACGCTTGTAAGTCACTTGAATTTGGCAGAGTTTTTCAAATTCTGCAAAGAGACATTGCTCAAGATTTTCCAGGAGGAGGAGGCACGTCCACATTGACTAAATGCACAACTAGTTAGTTGCTACAAGGCACCAACAATAGGCATCACAGAGCAAGAAATTGGCAAGAAGTACAGACAGAAGTTTTGGCAAAAACACCAAAATTCTAGTGGGTGAATGCAAGCCCATGTGCCTCATGAGAAAACATGGCAGAGCGTAAATAAAGGAAGCCTCTTTGAAATGTTTGAACAGAGTCAACTAGATATGCCGTAGTGAGTAGTGGCAAGAAGAATCAAGTCAAGGAAGGTTCAAGAAAGTGAGTATTAAGGAAAGCAGAGGACAAGCACCATTCCAGGAAGAAAAGGGGCATTGCTAGACGCGTTTCCTGGATATTTCTAGTATTTGTTAACTAAAGATAAAAAACGTTTTAAAAGATTTGACAAATAGCAGGATGTTTTGGAAAATGGTCGTCTTCAATTTTCAATTCTAAGATCTAAATTACTTTTCCTTACCTCGTTCCGCAGTGAGGTGTAGCAGCATTCTTAATTTAGTTCTTAGTGATTACATTTTGTTTCCCTTGTAAACATGTTTCACTGTCTCATAGATCCCCTTTCAAATGCTTCTGCCTCAAATGATGTTTTCCATTTAATGATCTCAATTCAGATCCTGCTTCAGAGGAAAATAAACATAAATGCTTAACTTAGCTCTTTCAATAGAGAGAGAAGGCAAACCTGCTTTAAACGTTGTAACTTTCATGCACATACACTTTTTCATTCAAGGAACACATTCACAATTAAATAAGGTCCTTATATTTTTCCATTGGATAAATTAAAAGGACTAGACATATTTAAAGGCGAGGGGTATAGGGAAGCTACAGATTTTCCTCTAAGGAATTAATCAATATTTCTTGTTGTGAATGGAAGACTTTCAGTTTTAAATACCCTATAGACTTTCCATATTAAGCGGGAGGAAAGGTGCATTAAAGTCACACGGTGAATTGGTACCATAATTCCAACACACCCACAGCCCCGGCTCAGATGTCAG